CCATCCCATCCCATCCCATCCCATCCCGATGGTTTCCCAGTCAGAGGCCACTCCCGGGCTGCACGTGTGGCCTGTTGGGCTCTGCTGCTGTCCAGTGGGAGATTTGGGATTGGTGGCACCCAGAGCCCTCCTGCCCCCTCCAGCCCCTGTCTGCCTGATGCCTTGGGGTGGCTCCCAGGGACAGAGGCCAGACAAGGGGAAGAGAATAAAAGCAGGCATTTCTGAAAGGCCTTCAGAAGGATCACCTTGGGCAGTGAAAGCCTCCGAGAGGGGCTACACCCAAAATGGATAATGGTGACGAGTTTTTCAGACAGATATAAGTTTGGTCCATTAACAAACCAGGGGTTAATCCTCCAATTTCAGCTTCAGGTAATGAAGTCATTTACCCCCAGTTGCCCTCCCCAATTCACTTTTGTCTTGACTTTGCTGGGCTGGTGGCAGTAGAATGTCCTTGAATTTCAGGCCTAGAGGGATTGTTTTGTCTGACCAAAATGTGACGACATATTACATTGCAAGACACATACTTCTTGCTCTTATGGCATCCATATCCCAAAGTGGATCCTCCCAGGTCAGTACCATGTAGAAGGATGTCCCCAGATCACCAGGAGTTCCCCACTCCTGTCCCTCTGTGCCCTGTCCTGGTGTTGCTCTCCAAGACTCAGTGGGGTCACATGGCAGTCAGAAGCGGTTTTCCAACTCTGCCTAGGTCAGAGTTAAACAGCTTTATGGTTTTTGGTACAAAGGAAAAAAAACCAAAAAAACAAAACAAACAAGCAAACAAACAAACACAAAAACCCAAACCTCTTTGTCTTTGTGAATGGCTCCTCATTTCCTCCTGATTAGAAACACTCCTTCCCAGGAGAATGTCCATTCTCTGACAGCCTTCCCTTTCCCAAAAGGGAACGGTTTTTGACATTTCTGGTTTCTTTTCCCTGAGGGGTCATTGTCCCTCCAGAAGCAGAGGGATGCTGGTGGTGCTGGCGGCTCTGGAATGCTGCCAGTGCTGGCAGTGTTGGTGAGGCAGCTGGGAGCTTCTCAGAATCAAGTGCCAATATGGTAATACCTCCATGATCATTGCCAAAACTTGCTCAGGACCAAACTACCCAGAGCTGCTCTCCATTCTATCCCTCATCCCTGCTCCTCATTCCCCGTTCCCTCCAGGCTCTCCATCCTCACCCCATCTTATCACATCCCACAGCTTTCTCA